AAGAAGAAGAAGGAGAAGAAAGAAAAGAAAAGTAAACGGAAGGAAAAGGAAGAGGCCGTTGTGGTAAGTGTCTGGAATACCTTGTTCCGATTGATTATCATGGTGACGGCTTTTTAGGAGGAGGAAGAAGAGGAAGAGGAGGAGGACAGCGACTTGGACTTAGCAATGTACGGCGCATCGAGAGGTAGCTCCTGCTGGGCCTACCATTCCTCTTTCAGGTTTGCTGGGGGTAAGGCTCGACAGCAGGCCGCCGCTGAGGCTGATGTTGAATCCTCGGATAGTGAGGAGGATAGTGATGATGATGAGGATGCCTTCCTTGCTCAGTACTGCCACCACCCTCGCATTCATCCATTGTGTGCTTACAGGTTCGCCAAGCAGAATAAGAAGAAGGGCCGGCGAGCTCCTACCCCACCTCCTCCTGAGTCTGATTCGGACGATGAAGAGGACGATGAAGATGACGATGAAGATCCTTTCCTTGCACAGTGAGGGTCTCGGTCGGCCCAGGATTGAACCGCGACGGTTGTTACTTCAGATTCGCCAAGAAGAACAATAGTCGAGGAGGTCGAAAGGTTGCTACGGATGACTCTGATGATGACGAGGACTCGGCCGCTGCCGTTGTTGAGTTCAAGCATGAGGAGGTTGTCGATGATAAGCCTAGTAAGGGCAAGTCGAAGGGGCGTAGGAGGCGATAAGCTGATGCGGCCTTCTTATATCCACTCACTGCTCTGCTACTAATGTATTCATCCATTGCTACTATATTCACGTCTGTTTCTCCGATGGACAGTTGGGAGTTGTGTTTAAGTCCAGTGAGAGGCTGGGGTAGGGCAGAAGCAGTTTGAGCTTACTGCTCAGATTTTGGTGACAGATTGTGACTAAAATCTGAGCAGTAGGCCTTTCCGTGTCGTTCGGAAGTGGAGTTTGTGAGCGTTGAGGAAATGCAAGAATAGCAAGATGGTGGTAGTCCGCGCTACTGCGACTAGCACGTCTCCTCTTACGTGAGTACCTCTTCGTAATGGGAGGAACCAAAAAGGATGATAACATCCGAGTGGCCATTCGCATGCGGCCCTTTAACGAGCGTGAGAAGGCTCTAGGGTCGACCCAGGCAGTAGTTGTCCAAGGGAACGCATGTACGACGCCTTTCCTGAGGCAACCACCAAACCCCAGAGGGGGCTTATGGTTAGGTCAAGTCGTTGGGGAGGTTCCTAAGGAGAACAATAAGGCGACGGGAAGGGCCCCTGCAGCTGGCAAGACCTTCTTCTACGATTATGCATATGACAGCACTGACAACGCCTCCTCGAAACCAGCGTCCAACGCATCGGTAAGTGCTGCTACTGGTGGAGTATATATAGTCGAGTTTCAGCTGTATGATGATATAGGGAAGGTCATCCTCGACAACGCCATGGACGGCTACAATGGGTGTCTGTTCGCCTATGGGCAAACAGGCAGTGGTAAGAGTTATAGCATGTTGGGGGGCTCGGGTGATCCAGGTGAGGTTGGATGTACCGTCTGAGAAGGGCACGGTCGTAGTAGGGATGATACCGAGGCTGACCAATGCTCTATTTGCTAAAGTTGGCCATGCTGATCCTAAGTACCCGCAGACACACGTGTGGGTGTCCTACTTGGAAATTTACAACGAAAAGTTGAGGGACCTCCTGGCAGCTGGTGATGATGATGGCAATGGTGAGGAGGCGTGCTCAGGGATCGGTAACGACTGCCTCTTCTATAGAAGAGGGCCTGTCTGTGTACGACAAGGCGGGACAGGGCGTAATAATATCGGGGGCAGTTGAGGCTGCTGTGGAGTCCTTGAAGGACGTTAAAGGCCTGTTGGACTTTGGTAACGCTCGGAGGTAGTGTTGAATTAATACCACACTTCCGTTACTTCGTCCTTTGTAAGGGCTGTGGGAGCCACTAACATGAATGCGGTCTCTTCTCGCTCGCATGCCGTGTTCACTCTAAGGGTTCAACGCGTGTGCTCTGATGGTGGCGGTGACCTTCACTCCAGGTGGGCAGTAGACCCCTAAGGTCCTTGTAGGGCATTGTAATATTCTTAGGATCAACCTAGTGGACTTGGCTGGTAGTGAGAGGCAGGCTAAGACACAGTCAGAAGGCAGTCGACTTAAGGAGGGTATTGCTATTAATCAATCTTTATCAACACTAGCACAAGTAAAATACCACTGGCCTATCTGGGCTTCCAGATTGTGGTGACAGGTGATAGCCCGGCTGTCTGAAGGCAAGGGCAAGGGACATGTACCCTTCCGTAACTCCAAGCTTACCTTCCTTTTGAGGGACTCCCTCTCGGGCAATAGCAAGACCTTCATGGTAGGGCTGGGGACACAGGTGACACGTGTCACCACTTGGTCAGATCGCGGCAATCTCGCCATCAACATCGGAAATATTCGAGACGGTATCAACTCTACGTTTCGCTACTTCTGTTAAGAAGGTCCAGACCTCAGCGGTGCAGAACCAGGCCGCGGTAAGGAGGACCTTATGAGGCTGAGTGCTTTGAGGTATTGGTCATAGGCGGGTACTGTGGATGCTATGAAGCATGCTATGGAGGCGCTGAAGAAACAGTTGGCTGCTAAGGGCGTTGATGACCCCGACAGGATAGCAAAGGAGAAGGAACAGAATGAGGAAATTAAGAAATTGAAGGTATGAGTGGTATGGGCTTTCCGAGGCTCATCAGTGCTAACAGGCTGAGCTGGAGGCTAACAAACAGGAGATATCACTGATGCAGACGGACTTCCATGAACAGCTAAAGAAGAACAAACAGATGGCTAAGGAGAGGGAGGCTTACCTCAAGCAGAAGGGAATCAAACATGGGGTGAAAGGAGGCTGATGGTGGTCGTATTGGTAGTGGCTATCCTTGCAGGATGTGGTGGATAGGAAACACCCCTTCCTACTCAATGTTTCCTCGGACCCTCTCCTCAGTGGGAGTCTCGCCTGGTCCCTTCATGGTCATCATGAGTTCCTGGTCGGTAGTCATAAGCATAAATGCGCAGTAGGCTACCCGGGGGGACGAGCGGAGGGTCAGTGGTGAGGTGTGGTAGGTTGTGGTGAGGGGCCTGGGCATCCCTAACGATGAGCCCCTGTGCAAGTTCGTATGTCCTGAGGAGGGTAAGGTAGGCATACAGATGCTCTCAGAGAAGGGCTCAGTGCAGCTGAATGGTCATCGACTTAAGGCTGGGGAAAAGCAGAAGCTGTAGTTCATAGATAGAGAGTGGCCCTGATGATGGAAGTAGGCACCATATGGACAACATCCTTCTGGGCAAGGCCATTATGGTGCGACTGCACCTCCCTAACCATAAGGAGGATAAGGACCTCACATTCGAGCAGGCTATGGCTCAGGTCGAAGGACAGGTCCCGGCCGAACTTGAATTCTACTTTGCTAAGGCCAAGGAAAGGTAAGTCTTGAGGTAAGCCTCAACGTTGAGGTATTCCCTCCTCACAGATGGGGTAGTGCTAGCAAGCAATACAAGGCTGTTGTTGAGTATGCTCTGAAGGACCTGTGGCCGTTGGTCGACGAGGCCAATGCGATATCCGAAGACCTCTTCCCTGTTAGACCGTAAGGCCCACTATGGCTACCTCTTGTGAGGTGTACTGCAGATACAAGTACACGATTGAGATATTCGTTGACCATGTCCAGGCTGAGGGCCAACAGTCTGATTTCCATCCAGCTGATATCGTCAATGTGAGGATGTCCAGGTTGGAGAAACCCGACACCAAGAACTACAAATCTGTGTGTAAGTTCACGTTCGGGGAATCAGCCTTCATGTCGCATACATTATTCACTTTTGTGATTCTCCAGTCGACTTCGGCATACAGTGGAGCTTCATCCGTCTTACGTGGCGTGTGAAAACCCCGATATTCGCGC